TTCCCTTAAAATATGGCTACTGCCCCCTTTTACCTTTTTGCTAGTTGAAGGACAGCCTTACTGATTTCCCAGCGGGATTTAGGAGCGCATAGATTCATTGACCTGAAATGCCCCCCTGCAACTTTGACTTCTACACTTCTGTGTTTTATTCTCACAAGGCCACGGGTAGTTTATCAAGTGAGATGTGTCAAGGTGCAAATTGCATCTCCTACATTTTACCTAGTCCTTCACTGTTACCAAGAAGGCCACCAAGGGACTTTCCACGGCAAAATCTAATATTGCACGTTTTCTTCCTTGAGAAACCGCTTAAAGTATATAACCAGCAAAAATGTTTTTTTTTTATCGTTTTGGGCTGTGTTTGGGATACTTCCCTTCATTTATTGTTGCAGTGACAACCGTTAACCAAACAGGAAGTGAGAGAAAAATCTGCAACAGTGACACAAATTTAAAGTCTACTCGATATTTTATTGATGTCTGTGCCTTCCTGTCTTGGGGCTCATACAGTTGGGTGTATTGCAGTCACAACTTAAATTCCAGCAAGATCCTGCAATTTAATGGTTTCCAAGCGCTGTACGCCTCTATAGGTTTGTGTAATATTTACAAGCATACAGCATTATTGCAGCCTTTTGGTTGCTAGAATGCAGGCAGTCGCTGTCTGCGTCCTAGCAACGGAAGAATGCTAGGCAGCAGGAGCCGTCGCAGGAGCCGTCTGCATTCTAGCAACAGACGTACACTAGGTGGCAATAGCTGCCTACATCTTAGCGAACAGAAGAATGCTAGAAGGAAAGAGCTGCCTTTGTCCAACAACAGAAGGATGCTAGGTGGCAGGAGACGCCTGCTTCCTAGCGACAGTACCACCCTAGGTGGCAATAGCTGCCTGCTTCCTAGAAACGGAAGGATGCTAGGCGGCAGGAGCTGCCTGCGTCCTAGCAACGGAAAGATGCTAGGCGGCAATATGCTAGGTGGCAGGAGCTGCCTGCGTCCTAGCAACGGAAGGATGCTAGGCAGCAAGAGCTGCCTGCGTCCTAGCAACGGAAGGATGCTAGGCAGCAAGAGCTGCCTGCGCCCTAGCAATGGAAGGATGCTGGGCAGCAAGAGCTGCCTGCGTCCTAGAAACGGAAGGATGCTAGGCGGCAAGAGCTGCCTGCGTCCTAGCAACGGAAGGATGAAGGCGGCAAGAGCTGCCTGCATCCTAGCAACGGAAGGATGCTAGGCGGCAAGAGCTCCCTGCGTCCGGAGCCACCTGCATCCTAGCAACAGAAGGACACTAGGCATGCTGTAGAAAGTAAATTTTTAGTACAAACGTTTACTTGCGCACAGAGTAAAATATGGTCCATACGCAAGAGCACAGATGCAGATTTTTTCTATTTTGATTTTATGGATCTGAATGCAGCACAGGTTTACTGATCTTTATGCAGCTGTGTGCATGGGACCATAACAAGCCATATACCTGCTTTCAGATCTGAAAAAATAAAAACCTGCTGCATTTTTTTTTTTGTGGCCATGTGCATGAGCCCTTCAAGATCTCCATTGTCGTTATGGTACTGATATTACAGGGGTGTCCCTGAGATAAATGGTGAACAGAAGTGGAGACGCAGATGGCAATAAAAAGTGGTTCTGAACCTTCACCACTCTATTCATAACTGAATAAAAACAATTCTGGCTGGAGTTGGGCTTTAACTGAATCAACCCTGGAATTCATAATTCTTGGTGTTGGTCACAATTCAGTTATATCAGGACTGGCACCCAACTTTTGATGTTTTCTTCAGTTGTTGTCCATGGAGCTTGCTCATAAAAATAAAAAAATGTAGCTGGCTCCTGAATTCTATATTAATTTGTTAGATACAGGAACAACCTTCCTCTAATATACAAATGTCTTTATTAGAAGTGTGCACCTCTCTGCTGGTGATTGATTTGTAACCTTCACTGTAGGCTTTGCTCCTGGGGAAATACCAAGAGCATGCAGTCTGACGACATAATATTACTGGTACATTTATTGTTTCTGGAATTCTACTTTAGTGATACCGTCCAAGTGGCAATGTTGAAAATTCCAGAATACTTTTCTAAGATCACTTGAGGTATATCGCACTTCTGAGACACCTGCATGGCGCAGCAAGCTTTAACCTACATAGGTAGCTGCCGGAGATAAAGAAAGAGCTGAAATGTTATACGTAACGTATACTGTGAGAGTCTATCATTAGATACAGTGTCACCCAGCTCTGACCTGACACTGGCTCCCATCCCAGCCGTTTCCTAAGGTTGCGTTGCTCAAATTTCACAGCAAAAAGCTGCTAATCAAGCACACTTAGCAAATATCATCTGGCCAAGTATTAAAGTTATAATCAACATACAACACCTCGGGTTCTATAAATGTTAATGGCTGTGGCAAGTGTTAATAGACGAGTTGTACTATAAAAAATAACTTTTTCTATGTACAGACTTTGTACAGTAGAGACTCGTACCAATACAAACGGGTTTTAATCATTATTGACTCCAGTGTTTCTCAACCTACTTTCAAAGTATGCAAAAGCACTCCAGATTGAAATGTACAAAAATGATGTGTGGTCCCTCCAAAAAATGTTTTAGCTTTAGATACACAATAATCGTGAGCCATACCTATTGCTACCCTCACCTTTTTATTCCTACTTGCACCTCTGTACCTTGTATTGCTAAAGAAGTTAAACCTGCCTACCCCCTTGTGCCAGCAAAGTCCTATACACTATATGGCCAAGTTTGAGGACACCTGGCTGTCACATCTACATGAGCTTGTTGAACATCCCCTTCCAAATCCATGGACATTAATATGGAATTGGCCTCCCTTTGTGGCCAAAACAACCTCAACTCTTCTGGGAAGATGCACTGGAGTATGTCTGTAGGAATTAGGGCCAATTCAGGCAAATGAGTATTTGGGAGGTCAGATTCTGATGTTGGATGAGAAGACCTGGCTCTTGGCCAATGTTCCAGTACATCCCAGAGGTGTTCAGTAGGGTTGAGGTCAGGCCACTTGAGTTGCTTCATATCAAACTGCTCAAACCATGTCTTTATGGCCCTGGCTTTGTGGAACAGAAAATGGCCTTCCCCATAATGTTGCCACAAGGTTGGCAGTCCACAGTTGTCTAAAATGTCTTTGTATGCTGTTGTATTCACAATACCTTCAATGGAAACGCATGGACTTAATCATGTGGAGGGGTTTCCACATACTCTTGACCATATAGTGTAAGTACAACGGTCAGGTGTCCAGGAACTTTGTCTGTATAGGATATGTATGTAGTTTGTAGCAATCTGACTCGGTACAACTGGTTTTTTAAGTGTTGTTTCCGGTGATTGTGAAAATGATTTGGTACTGGCTTGTTGTTCTTTAAGAAGTATGCTCCAATATTATTATTTATGAACCTTTACTGAGAGCAAACATTAATTAAGTTCTTGAGAGGTTGTAGCCAGTAACATCTCGAACACCTAGGGAGTCCCTGTCTCCAAATTACAGAAAATCTGTGTTCATGTTGAACTTATTTGTACAGTAGCAGTAGGTTTCATTGGTATAATACATATTGGTTCTTATTTCCCTTTTATCCTGTCAGCCGCAGTGCTTGACAAATATGTCTGGCAATTATATCTCTAAGTGTTTTGCTCAGTGGGAATATATTGTGTTGCAGCAAAATATATGGAATTTAAATGCGTGTTTGATTCACGCTTGAAATGATTCATGTAATATTACAGGCACGTGAGTCTGATTAATGCAGAATATCAGGTTTCAGATCAAATTGTTGTCCATCTATAGTCAATTTTGCTACATTTGCAAAAATTTCAAATTTTCTGATCCCACTGGTTTGTTTGTTTTTATTTAATTTTTTATTTATTCATTTTTTTTACCGGTTCCAGGGACACTGAAAGCCCCCTTCATAGTCCCTGTGATGTCATCACAGGAGCGACAGCACTATTCTAGCTATTGAAGCTGAGAAGCAGTATGGGAGATGGCACTCTTTGACACTTCTGTGACTCCTCTCCCCAGGCAAAGTAAACAGCACTAGTCTTAATGCATGGGGAGCAGGTGGGTATGGCCAGCGCTGACTACCATGGAGGGGGGTTTTCAGTGGTGACAACACTGAGGACCCTCCTTCTCTATGAGCATGGGGACACAGCACTGAATAGGGTGACTCCTGCAGTAATGTCACTGAAAGGGAATCTAAGTTGTCACCCTGTTGAATGAGGTCTACTGGATGGGATTACTAGGTATTTTTACACTAATAGAAAAGGCAAATTCTATTTGAAAATTGTACAGTTTGCTTTCTGTCATGAATTTTCACATTTAACTTTTTAAAAATTGTACTATAGTTCTCTTTTAGAAGTACTTTTAAAGACTGTTACAAATGGTCAAAACGAAACCTGTGGGGGGTTCCTATTGCATGCCAGTTCTTCAAACTATCTTTAAAGTGACCCAGGATCCACAGGGCACACTCCTGTAATGCAAATATTAACCACAGTTTATTTTTTCACGTGTTGGGCCCACTTCTTCCCACCTCCTGCGCCTTCCTAATTGCCAGTGAGATTGCCTACCACATTTGGTGATCAGCAGGAAGGTGGGAGAAGGTGCCTGCTTCATGGAACTGGGGTTACTTAAGAAGGTTAAAATCCCCATAGGTTTTCTTTAGTGTATGTATAGGGACATCAGAGTTCGGTAAAATAAGATTTTGACTTTAGCCTGGCTACAGTATTCTTTTGTAGATTTAATTAATATGGAAAAATGTTTCTCCAAAGTGGGGCAAGTGGGTGGCACCACACTGACCGAATTAGACAATTGTGTCCTTTTTGGTGGCACCTTTAAAGCCCCAGGCTCTTTAGTAGCCATTTTTGTTCTGTTAATCTTTTAATATGGAGCTTGTTCTTCAGTAGCATCTTTGTTCAATATTAATTAGTTTTTTTCACCTCACTAACAATGTTGTTGCGTTTTATTTTATTCTAGATCCATCTAGTGAAAGGATAAAAATAATTCAAAATCCACCATGGAGCGTTTAGAAGAGCAATTTTCAGATCTTCACGTAGCAAAGCGTTCGGCTATGAAAGACAACATAACTTACATACTTGACATTGACGTGTCAAGCCCAGCAGAGGCACAGAACAATCAGACAGTCGCAATCTTGTGCTCTGATAAATCAATTAGGTTATATAACAAGGAAACTATGACCTGCCTTCAAGAATATAATGCACACCCTGGAGTGCTGAGTGGTGTTCGCTTTTCCCACTCGAATAACAACCTGCTGTTCTCCGCATGCAGTGATGGCACTGTAAAACTGTGGGATGTTCGAGCTTCCGGTTCAGAAGCCGTACAGATATTTAACGGCTACCCGTCTAATGTTTTTATCAGCTTTGATATTAGTTGCAATGACCTTGTTGTTTGCGCCGGTACTGAAAAAGTAGAAGAAGACTCTTTTCTCGTCTTCTGGGATGCAAGATGTAGTTCTGACAGCAATTCTAGAGAACCTCTTGGCGTTTATTCAGAGTCGCACAATGATGACATCACTCAAGTGCGCTTTCATCCAACCAAACCAGGCCTGGTTGCAACGGGTTCTACTGATGGCCTTGTTAACGTGTTTGATGTCGGGAAGGATAATGAAGATGACGCCCTAAGTTCCACATGCAATTCTGATTCTTCTGTGAATGTTATTGGTTGGGCAGGCAAAGATTACAACCAGATCTATTGCTTGACACACGATGAAGGATTCTGTTGGTGGGATCTTGCTCAGGTGGAGACTGATGAACCCATCACGCTTTGTAAGGTTGAGGATATGAGGGAAAAAGTCACCAGTTGTTCCATTGATTATCTCATTGGCGGACTCTATCATGACAAAACGGATTCTCTGTTTCTTGTGGCCGGGTCTCACACTGGGAACATCCACCTGTTAAGTTGTGAGTCTGATAAACTAACCTGTTTAAAAAGTTTACAAGGAGGACATTCTGCCACCGTTCGATCATTCTACTGGTGTGTGGATGACAACTCTCTGCTAACTGGTGGAGAGGATGCACAGTTGCTCTTGTGGAAACTGAAAAGCAAGGACTTGTCTCCTGGAAAGAAAGACTCCATGAAAATGGCTTCCTCTCTACAGCAGAGAGTTCGTGTGCACAACTCCAACTCCAAATCCTATTCCACAAAGCCAAAGAAAATCACAGACTTTTAATTGGATGAAATAAGAAGCTAAAATCAATTTGAAACTATATCAAATGTTATGACTCATATATGTTGTGTATTAGCAGTCACATTGTTAAAGGGGACCTTTGTGATCAGGCTCAGATGGAAGCTGCCATGTACTAGCTGTGGGCAGTTTGGTGAACCTAGTTACCAAGCTGCTGCTTCAGAACTAGTATGTTGTCTACAAGTTGGCAATGGCTGCTTCCATTAAAACATTTGATATCTGATAAAAGCCCTTTTAAGGACTCGGTACAAGCTACTATGTAATCATTTAAAAGTAAACTTGACACGCACATGGCAAATCTTACTGAGCGTATGATTAGAACGTGCAAGCAGAGCCATTGTGAGGGCTGCATATGAAAATGACCAGTGGATGTTTTAAAATCAAATCTTGACTTTTTCTGTGACGGTTGAACCTTCCTGTTGGTCAGGGAGGTCTATTATATGAAAGCGGAATACAAGTGACAAAAATAAATAATTGCTGGGAAGGATAAAATTTCCTCTTTTCCCCAAGATACTTTTATTGTCAGTGTGCACTGCAGCGCATCTGCCATGCAGTGTGCACAATCAGCCCATTCACAGCATCTCTAAGATGCTATGAATGGGCCTGATGCCGGGGAGGATGCAATTCCTGTGCGCATGCACCTGGAACCTGGAAGTGGTGGCGAGTGGAAAAAAAGATGGTGGCGGGGGACCAAAGATGGATCCAACAGCTCTGGAGAAGGACACACTTGTAAGGTAAGTGCCCTAATGTACAACTATGCTGTGCATACTTGCACATTACGGCACAAACGCCACCCCTTCACAGAGGTTACTACTGATTTAAGGGCCAGCTATTAAAGGAGAACTTCATCCCCATAGTTAGAGCCTTTGACATTGACAACCTCCGCACTCCAGGTGTGGTGAAACTACAAAATCCTTTTACACCTCTGTGAGTCATGTCTGTGGCTATCACAATATTGCAATGCCTCATGGGACTCCTAGTTCCAAAAGAGCTGTACTGCCGAGGATGCCTACCCCTGGCACTATATACTATGGAGAAGTTCCTGCTGCAATAAGAGGGCAAAGATGGGCCAGAATCAACAACACAGTTTTTGAGCTTTCCCTAATGATCTATTTTTTAACCTCCCTGGCGGTATGATTATGGAGGATTTTAGCATGCCAAAGCGGTACATTGTTTTTCATGGCAATAAATGTCCCGCCGGCTCCGTCCCCCGCTGTGACGGCCGAAAACGAAACTGAATGCCGGCATCGGCCGGGCGCACACAGCAGAGGACACCGCAGGCTCGCAGGGACAAGGTAAGTGACACTTTTGCGCAGTCCATAGTGTGGCTCGGGGTTACCGCTCTTGGTACTGAAAATTAACCCCGAGCCACACTCGGGAATACCGCCAGGGAGGTTAAAGGAGCCGACCAGCCAACTAAGAACATTGCCACCTTTAACCTTCTGCAAGGATAAAACTCATATGCTGCAGCAGAGTTTCTATATTACTAGTGGTCCCTTGAGGACCTTTGGTCAGATTAGACTCAAAAGCTTCTGTAGGAAAGTTGGTGTAGCCCCACCCTCATTTGTGTATTGGAACAAAAGGTTTTCAGGGTTCCGTACCACCCTTTGACTTTGCCCCTCTTGGTGACGTTAGAAAACTGCTTGGTTAGAGGGTTTTGGCCAAGAGTTAGCGTGCTGTTTTTCTATATCGAGGAGGAGATCCAAGACAAAAGTAAGAGCCAAAAACAATTCCTCTAAAATTCCCAGACTACTGCAGCTAATTCAGTTTTATGTGGAAGTAGTGATTGGAAACAATGACTTGTTCTATTTTATCTCTTGGGGGCATAAATCTTCTCACTGTGTAGTGTTTACTAAGGTGCTGTAGTTAGTTGAGAAGAAATCTTACCAACGGGTACACCACCAGCAATGAAAGCCACTGTATTCATGACAAACATTACCCAAAAGTTTATTTTTTCTTAAAGTATGTAATCTTTTTTTACCACTAACTCTCCTCATGCCTAGTTTGATTAAAACTTCTGAATAGCTTGGGGCTAGAGGTAGTTATAACATCTTAATAATCCATGGAGGAAAGACCAATAGGTTCACAAAGCACATTTAACTGTTAAATGATGAACTTCAGAGTCCTTAGCAAAAAGAGTTTTTTGGGGGGATCTGTATTGGTCCCTGCAGTCACTAAAAATAGTGCCATCTCAATACCCTAACAACGGACCTCTCTTTTTTACTCCCATTTGATTTCTTAAGTATACTATTGAAAGTGTTTTGCTTTATATCTGTTTGGGAAGTGCAAAAAAAATAACTGTTGATCCTGCTGGAAATCTTGGGAGCTACTCTATTTCTGCTGGCTGTTATCTGAGTCTGTCTGCGGACTATGGAATAGCTCTCTCCTATTAAATAGAGGAGAGGGGGGTGTTCTGTGGTCCACACAGAGACTTGGGAATAATGCTATCTGATAGCGGACACATGACCATGCTGCTCCTCCATAGATATAGTATGGTGAGTGGGTGTTGTTACCCTAGGACCGGCACGACTGTTCCTGGCAGGATTACCAGAAGGAAAAAAAGTCTGTAAAATAAAACTAATGCATCAACACAAGTATTGGTAAGCTACATAATATTAAAGGAGAACTATGGGGTTAGGGCTTTTCCCCATAGTTCTCCTAAGGGTAACGGGAGGACACAAACTAGCGTCCTCCCGTCACCCTAAGCTCAGTATACCGCGAGCTACAGCTCGTGGTATACTGAGATGCCGCAGCTGAAGCGTATCCCAACAATTATGTCTGGATCCGCCCAGCTTCGTGAGTGACAGCTGGCTCTGCCTATCTAGAAAATGACCAGTGGATCAGTTCTGCCAGTCAGGGCTGAAGGATCGGGGAGGGGGGAATCCAGTCCCTCCCCTGTCACGGCTCTTTGCCGTGACAGGATCGAGAAGTGAGCGGACGCCGGTATGTGTTCGCTCACTTCCCGATCTACTGAGCCGACCTGTGACAGTCTCATTGTCACAGGTCGGCTAGAACTATGCGGATGAGTGAAAATCACTCACCTCATAGTTCTCCTTTAAATTTTATTATTGGGTGTAGATATGCATGATCCTTTGTAACTTCTTCTGTTGTCTCCCTGGATAAAGCCTTTAAAAGTTCACAGTAGTGGTTTTCAGCATTGCTTGTGTTTAATAAGATCTTTGGCTTGCATTGATATGCATTTTCGCTGCACTGTGGATTAAGAAAAAAAAACACTTTCTCATCTGATCTGACTGGCACAATTCAGGTAATTGCTCCCATAATATGTATGTATGCAGGACTGTTATTTTCTAATGCACTGCAATGCAACACATTGGTGAAAATGTTTAATGCAGCAAAACCGATGACCTGGTGTGAATTACTTCCTAATGTTTTAGGTTGGTATTACCATGGATCTAATTTTTTATATTGTATTTTTAAACTATTGTATTTTAAATGAACATCTAAACATGTATATACAACAACCAAAACACATAAAGTATATTTTTAAAATGTGTTCTTGTTCAAAGCAGTGTTTGTCAATGTATGTTGTTGCTGGTGTTATGTATTGTGACTGTAGGCTGATAGCAGGGTTCAGGTGTTATGAGCAGGACAAGCTTGCCTGTTCCCGCCACATGCCTTGGTTCCACCCTCCTCCATATCTACAGCGCTTAGCGGTGATGTAGGGGTTGCAGGATGAAACCATGGAGCACGGTGGGGGCAGAAGCATCTGACACTTCAGAAGTAGCACATGCCAAAGAGTTTTATGGAGGCAGCATCACTGGAACAGAGGGAAGGTAGCAGTCATGAGTCCCTGGAGAGGTGAGCTTTGCATACTTGCACAATGGGGCGAGAGGCTACCTCCACCCAGTGAACTTTACTTTTCAGACAAAGCAGCTGCAAGAACTGAATCACCAAATTGACAAGGAGCACCAAAGATAACACCAAGCTTATAATGTTGAATAAACGTGTTAGCTGATGACCAACTGACTGCCTTGCAGATCACATCTGCAGAGACCCAGGAAGCTATTGCTGTAACTGAATGAGCTCTGACTTCTGACAGCAGGGGTACTGGATAGTTCTCAAGATGCTACAACTTTAACACAGGCTGCTTTTTTCTTTAAGACCCTTTGGGTAGAGAAGTTCTTATCTGAAAAGAAGTACTTTGTTCTGTTTTTATATATCTCTAGATCTCTATATGTGGAGGTCAGCAGAACAATATCTAGAAGCCTTCTGATTTGTAGAGGACCAACTGAAATGGAGAAGGCAACAAGAGTATTTTGTCAGTAGGAATTGCAAAGTAGGGTTCTTCCAATGATCGAGCCAGATGATCTGGTAATCTTTGGCTGATATAATGACCATTTGGAAATAAAGGTAAGTGTCAGGAGACAAAGAGAGCCCTCAAAGGAAGGTTCAGCTTAATAGTTGCTCATAGAAACTGCTGATCCAAGGACTGTTTAGCCCACTTAAAACCTGTAAAAAAGTGAAATGTAAACTATGAGTTTATTATAGCCAGAATCCTTTTCTAGAGCGGATTGAGGAAAGTCTAGGATGTGAGCTATCTTCACTCGATGTGATTATAGGTCTTGTTTGTCAAGAATTTTCTGGCTTTCAGTAACATTGTGATACCAGAAGTTAAGAGATTCTCCCTTAATAACCACAAAGCCAATTTCAATCTGTGAGGATTTGGATGTTGCCAGTGTCTCTGGAGAAGGTTCTTCCTTCAAGGAAAGTGATCTATATTATCAGAGTCGGCATGTGAACCATGACAAGAAAGAACAATGACAATCGCTCTGTCTCTTTCTAAATCATCCTCAACAGGACTCTCAGGATCAAAGCTTTTGGTGGAAATACATATGCCAGAAAAAAAGTCCCATCTGAGAATGTGTTCTGAGCTAAGGCTTGTAGACATTGGAGGAAAAAAAAATTCCCCATTACTTGAAAATTAGTTGAAAGTATCTACTGTTTTAGGCCCTGTTCACACGACGTCCGTTTTCTGTGCTGACCTGATC